TTAAAAATTGATATTTTTATTTAAAAATTGACATAATTAATATCATTAAATAAAAAAAATATAAAATTAACATGTTTATTTGCACCTTTTCTCGAATGAGAGAGGATAGAAATGGAGTGATATTCCTTTTACGTACTTCCTTCCATTTTCTTTTTAGCTTTTTGTTTTTTGTTTTTGTTAAATTAAACATACTTTCAAAGTATTTTTAAATTAATTTTTATATATTTTAAAATTAACTTTTCTCTAGGTAATCTTACTGCTGGTTACATTAAATATAATTAATTTTTATGAGTACTAGTTCGAAACTTAAATTCTGAATCTAAGTTATAAATTGAACACTTATTTTTTAATAAATTTAAACTCCCTAACCTACATAAAAATTTTTTTTTGTATATTATTAGATTCAATCCTTTGAATTACTAAAATTAAAAAACTTATTAGAAATATATATGACTTAAATTGATAATTTTCTAATGGATCAGGCAAAGACAATTAAATTAGATATTTTTTTAATTTAATAATTGTTATTATTTATACATAAATACCCATCATTGTCAAAATTTGATACATCATTAGAACAATCGATGTCTATTGGATCAAAGCAAATGTAATTGAAAAAATCAGTAAATGTATATTTCTTTTCTATTTTTTTCTTTTCTGCTTTTCCACTTAGATCTGAAAAAGGGAAAACTAATTAAATGAAGGGGGAGGGGCCTTTTTGTTTGAGTCATTTTCAAGAAAAGAACTGTATTTACCATTTGCTTTTGTTTTTGCTCACCGGAGAAGTCACCTGGGACCGCCAGAGGGCAAGAAAGTACATCCTGTAAGAGCGATCATACCATTATTATTATTCTTTTTCCAGAGGAAAGACAATTTGAGCAATCATACCATTATTATTATTCCCAACAACACATCAACGCAAAGGATCTTATTCTTTTTCTAACTAATAATGTTTAGCTTTTAGCGATGACATAAATACGGAAATATTATTTCTTTATTTATTGGTTAGTGGGAATGTTTTCTTAGGGCATAGAATTAGAGTGTGACCCTGCAACCTACTTTACACCTTTTCTGGCATATAATTCTTTTATTAACTTTTTACTAAAGCAAATTGTTTAATAAAATTGGCTTTTTATATATAAAGAACGTAAAAAAATGTAGAAATTTTATACATATATGATATATATTATATAAAATATATATACATATAATATAGTATATATTCGTCTTGATTTCTATAAAAATTAGAGTGCATAATTAGTTTCTCAATTCATATATCAACATAATGAATTTTTTATGCCTAATGTATAAAATATTAAGACCACTAATTTTTTTTTTTATTTTTCTTATTAAATAGTTTTGAAAAAATCAATTTGTTTACTATTTTAATTTGCCAAAGAATAAATATTAACTATTTTATTAATTATTAGTTATTTTTATTAATTAAATTAAACATAATCAATTTTTTTAAAATAATATTTTATAATTTTTAAAAATCTTAATATTATGAGTTGTAGCCATAACCACACCCTCTGTGTATAAATATAAACAAAACATTATAATATA